CGGCCATTTTTTGGTTGCAGCCATCATTGTTGTTTGGCGGGCCCAGGCTGGGGATTCGAACCCGCCACCTTAGGTGTATGTGGCTGGCGCCTTAGCCAGTTGAGCCACAGGCGCTGAGCCACAATATCACCTTTCTTGTAGATTCGCATGTATGTGGCCAAAGGAACAACTCCATGTTTTCTAAAAGGCCTAGAGAACATGCATCGGGTGCCTCTCCTCTTTCCCTTTGTGTTCGTCATTTTGGTGAATTACTGGAAGATGGCATCTCCAGCCGAAAGGCAATAGATTAACTTTTAAACTTACTAATTCCTTTGTTTTTACAGCCAGATATAAAGAATTTCTAACTTAACCTTCTTATTTCATACATTAAGAAAGTAAAAGACTCAAAGGAATTCTGTTTTGTAGGAAAGAATCAGAATCCAGGTTGCTAGTATTAATGTTTGTGTATATTTATATGTCATGTGTATCTAAGCTTAGATATAGTTAAACAATTCAGATTTCAGTTAGTAGTTTAGGCTATTTGTTAAACCCATTTATTAGAATTTTTTTTTAAAAACAAATTTTTCTGAGGTACAATTTACATACAATAAAACTAATAAACATTTTAAGAGTAGTATGTTGAGTTTTGGCAAATCTATATACCTGTGTAACCAACACATCCATCAAGATATAGAACGTTCCAATCATTGAGTGAAGCTTTCTTGCAGCCCTTCAATATTTAACCACCTCACACAATTACTTCTCTGATTTCTACCAGTAGTTTGTTCCCTTTCAAAGAATTTTATATAGACCTTAGTGTCTAGTTTCTTTTTCTCAGCAGATTTTTGAAATTCATTCATGTTATATTAGAAATATGTTCCTTTTAATTATTGAGTATTATTCCATTTATCCATATGGATAGACACTTGGGTTGTTTCCAGATGGTGTTATTATGAATAAAACTACTATAAACATCAACATTAATCTTTGTGTGAGCATTTGCTTTCATTTCTCTTAATAAATATCAGGAGTAGAATTCTTGAGTCATTTGGTCATTTATAACAAACTGCCAAACTACTTTCCATTTATTAGAGTTTTAAGACAACACTCTAGACAGAAGCTGAGGAGCAAAGCGGGCCCCTTGGTTCCACCAGCCCTCAAACCCATTAAAAAAAAAAAAGACAATGTTCTAACTAAAAATTTGACAACTATTAATCTTCTCCAGGGTCTACAGAAGTTTCCTCTTACCCTTGGAAGACATGTTCTAAGACCAACAGTGGATGCCTGAAACCTCAGATACTACCAAAACCTATATATACATATGTACAATGTTTTTTCCTATACATACATATCTATGATAAAGTTTAAGTTAATCCAGCACACACTGCCATCAATTAGAAGGCATTTTCTCTTCATGTCTTCTCCTCACAAATATAATGCCCTTTCCACATAAACCAGGGATGTCCAACCTTTTTTTTTTCTCTGCCTCAAAGTGGAAGAATTAAGAGTTGCCTTGGGCCACACATTAGATACACAAACACTAATAACAGTTGATGAGCAAAAGAAAAGGTCCATGTATAGTTTGTCAGATATTCAATACCACAAATAAGCAAAACAGTCCTCACATCATTAGTAAGCAGCCCACAGACCACAGGTTGGACAGCTCTGAACTAAGGATTATCACACACTCTGGCCCTAGCTTTTGAAGTTTATGCTGCAAAATCAAAACTAGCATGGATTTCTTTTTCATTCTTCACAATTTTACAGATGATTTGTCCTTACAGATCTTAGCAACCTCAGCACATGATTTTTTTCCTTATTAAATTAAGTTTTAAACTTATTAAATTTAAGTTTTTAATACTTTACACCTTCTCTTTAGCATTTTCGAAATTATCAGCATCACTTCTCTTGAGAGATGGGACCATTATTAGGTAAAATAAGGGTTACTTGGATACAAGCACTATACTACAACAGTTGATCTAACAACCAAGAAAGCTACTAAGTGAATACTGTGTGGATAGCACTAGATAAAAGAAATTATTCACGTCCCTGGTGGGATGGAGGACAGTGTGAGATTTCATCTTACTACTCAGAATGTTACTCAATTTTAAAATTCTAAATTGTTTATTTCTATAATTTTCCATTTAGTATTTTCAAACCACAGTAGACCACAGGTAACTGAAATAGCAGAAAGCAAAGTTATCTTGGGGGGAGCTACTATATTACAGTTTGGCTTACCAAATCAGTGGCTTCATAGTCAGTAATTTAGATAGATTAAAAAGAAATACATTTGTATATTACCACTTATCCAGATATAATAATGTTAGTTTTAGGAATCTTTTTTTTAAACTTTCAAGTTATATACTCTACCTCTTCTAACGTTAGATTCATCAGGTATGTTTTAAGAGGGAGGAATAAAGGTCAAGACTTCTGCTTTGGGCCATAATGAATAAAAGAGACTGAGTTTACCTTCTTCCTTTAAATAATTAGAAAAGGCCTAGTGTGGTAGCTCACACCTGTAATCGAAGCACTCTGGGAGGCCAAGGCGGGTGGATTTCCTGAGCTCAAGAGTTCAAGATCAGCCTAGGGCAGAGTAAGAGCTTGTCTCTAAAAATAGCCTAGCATTGTAGTGGGTGCCTATAGACCCAGCTACTTGGAAAGCTGAAACAAGAAAATCATTTGAGCCCAAGAGTTTAAGGTTGCTGTGAGCTGTGACTCCACAGCTCTCTAAAGAGGGTGACAAAGTGAGACTCTGTCTCAAAAAATAAATAAATAGAAAAATGGAAAAAATATGTTAAACTACAGTTTTCAGACAATGAATAAAAGGTAACACAAGACAGTAAGTAATCTGAAGAAATGAAGCAACCCTACAAGTACCTGACTTTACTGCCTAGAAGTTCCAGGTCTCAGTGGTAAAAGAGAATACCCACAGTCCATCAGTCCTCTCCTGAGCTGAAGAAAACAGTTTGGAGTAGGGGAAGCAGGGTCCAAGACAGCTAGAATTTGCAGATTAGAGAACCAGAAAGAAGAAAGCTGCAGATAAATCCTCTCAAGTCTTTTGCTGAGTACTAATCTACATGTGTGTGATTAAACTATGGCCAGGAAAAGACCATCAGAAAAAAAAAATAATAATACATTCTCAAAGAGCATAGGGGACCAACCAGAGTAGAAAGACCTAATATTTAAGAGTATCAAGTACAGTTCATAGAAGGAACTGCCTCCTCTACAGTAACAGGAGACCAACCAGAGTGGAAAGACATAGTATTTAACATTATCAAGTACAGTATTTAGAATGGACTGCTTCATCGGGTGGTGCCTGTGGCTCAAAGAAGTAGGGCACCAGCCCCATATATTGGAGGTGGTGGGTTCAAACCAGGCCCAGCCAAAAAAGCGCAAAAAAAAAAAAAAAAAAGAATGGACTGCTTCATCTATGGTCATACCACCCTATACATGCCAGATCCCATCTGAGCTTGGGAGGAAAAAGAAATGCCTCTGCAGTGAAGACAAATTAGCCCTACAATAAAGTCTATTCTGGAACCATCCTAACAAAGTTTAGATCAAAAGGATCTTACCAATTCCAAATAACTGTCTATCAGACTAAAGCTAAAATAAATTTAAAAGAACATACACATACACAAAAAATGTCCAGGCTGGGTGTGGTGGCTCCCACCTATAATCCTAGCACTCTGGGATGCTGAGGCAGGTGGATTGCTTGAGCTCAGGAGTTCAAGACCAGACTAAGCAAGAGTGAGAGCCGATCTCTAACTA